TTGTGGAGATAGGTTGTTTCCTTTCAAATCTGCAGTAAAACACATTCAGGTCATGTGCTAGTTGTTGATTTCCTTCTGCCTGGGAAGGAGGTTTGCTGTAGCCAGTGATGTTTTTAAGAGTTTTCCACATGTTTGCTGATTCATTTGTTGAGAACTGATTCCTTAACTTTAAAAAAATAGCTTCTTTTTGCTGCTCTGATGTCTCTTGTTAATATGTTTCTGGCCTGATTGTCTAGATGGCTTTTCATGTTTGAAATTGCTCATGAAATAAACCTCTGATCTTAAAGTAAGAATTATTGTTTGTGGTTTGTCCGTGTTCTTCTTTATTTGGATATTTTTATGACACTTTGAAATATATTTTTGCCCAAACTATAAAAAGAAGTGTTAGTCTATATTCCACCTTCTCTCTCTTGGAAAAGGGTATCCTTCCAGTATACTAAGACATGAACCCAGAGCCACATTTAACAGATTTAACAGATAATCAGAGTTGGAAGGGACCTTGTAGGTCATCTAGTCCAACCCCCCACCCAAGCAAGAGAACCTACACCATTTCTGATAAATGGCAGTCCAATCTCTTCCTGAAAGTCTCAAGTAATGGCGCTCCCACAACTTCCGAGGGCAAGCTGTTCCATTGGGTGATTGTTCTCACTGTCAGAAAGTTTCTCCTTATTTCCAGGTTAAATCTCTCCTTGTTCAGATTCCATCCATTATTCCTTGTCTGGCTTACAGGTGCTTTAGAAAATAGCTTGACCCCTTCCTCCTGTGGCAGGCCCTTAAATATTGGAAGACCGCTATCATGTCTCCCCTGGTCCTTCTCTTTACTAGACTATCCAAGCCCAGTTCCTGCAACTGTTCATTGTATGTTTTAGCCTCCAGTCCCCTAATCATCCTGGTTGCTCTTCTCTGTACTTTTTCTAGAGTCTCAACATCTTTTTTATAATATGGTGACTAAGACTGGATGCAGTACTCTAGGTGTTGTCTTACTAAGGATTTATAGAGTGGTGGTGCTATCTATTCCACTTTTTTCTAGCTTACTAAGAAGTAGGTTGTGGTCTACTTTGTCAAATGCTTTGCTGAAATCTAAATATATTATGTCCACAGTATTTTGCCAGTCTACTAATTTAGTCACTGTGTTGAAGAATGAAATAAGATTGGTTTGGCATGATCTGTTTTTAACAAACCCGTGCTGACTGCTAGTTATTACTTTACTTGTTTCTAGATGTTGGCAGATCTGTTTTTTTATTATCTTTTCCAGTATCTTCCCGGGTATTGTTGTTAGACTGATTGGTCTATAATTTCCTGGGTCTGTTTTTTTCCCTTTTTTGAAGATGGGAACCACATCAGCTCTTTTCCAGTCCTCTGGTAGTTCCCCGGTGCTCCAGGATTTTTGAAAGATATGGTGCAGTGGTTCTGAGATGACCTCTGCCAGCTCCTTTAAAACTGGGATGTAATCCATCAGGCCCCGGTGATTTGTTTTCATCAAGATCAGACAGGTGTTCTCTTACTATTTTTTTGCTTATTTTAACTTTTATTTCTGGTCTGTCTTTTACAGTTATGTTTTTGGTAGGTTGAGCTATAGTTTCTTTTTGCATGAAGACGGATGCAAAGAATGAGTTAAGCAGTTCTGCTTTCTCTCTGTTGTCTGTTATTTCCTTGCCATCTTCTCTCTTTAGTGGACCGACTGTTTCCTTGATTTTTCTTCTTCTTATTTATATGTTGGAAGAAACTTTTTAAATTATCTTTGACTTTTGTTGCAAATCTTTGTTTGTTCTGAGCCTTTGCTATCTTGACTTCGTCTTTGCAGATTCTGGCTATCTGCTGATATTCTGCCTTAGTTGTATGTCCTTCTTTCCATTTTTTGTACTTGTCCTTTTTTTTCTTTCAATTTGCCAGAGAGATCTTTGTGCAGCCATGGTGGTTTCTTCTTGGATTTCTTGTTTTTCTTTCTCAGTGGTATTGTTCTGGTCTGGGCTTCTATGATCATACTTTTTAGAGTTTCCCAAGATTCTTGAGTTGTTCTCGCCTTTAGGGTTTTCATCCATGGAATCTTTCCCAAGTTCTCTCTGAGTTTATTGAAATCAGCTCTTTTAAAATCCAAGACTCTGGTGTCATTATGTTCTGTTGCTTGTGTTTGTGTTATGTTGAATTCTAGTATGACATGGTCACTCTCACCCAAGGTTCCTGCAATTTCAACTCCCTCTATCACTTCTTCTCTGTTTGTAAGAATTAAGTCCAGTATGCCTGTCCTTCTAGTTTCACCCTCTACCTTTCTGACAACAAAGTTGTCAGCTAGGTTGGTTAGGAACTTATTTGATTTGAGACAGTATACAGGGAATGTTAAATTTGGAGTCTGTCCCCATGTACTCTGCTATTACAGTTTAGATATTATTTGTATTTTTGCTAAATTGTTCTTCCTTATGCCATTTAGAACTTTTGAGATGGTGTGATAGAAATGTCTGTAATGGATAACTAAAAAACATTTTAACCTTTTAAAAGGGTTTAAAATTATAGCATAAAGATTTCAGCAATAGAGGACTATAAGACTCAACTTACAGCCATTCGTTTAGTGTCCATTCAACATTACAACGACACTGAAAAAAAACCCTAGACCATATATTTCAATGATCCTGGAGCACTGGCAAACAACCAAATGACAGGAAAAGGGCTGATGTGGTTCCCATCTTCAAAAAAGAAAAAAAATGGACCTATCAGCCCGACATCAATAACTGAAGATTCTGGAAAAAAATAATCAAGTAATGAATCGGCAAACATCAAGAAGCAAGTAAGGTCATAACCAGAAGCCAACATGGGTTTGTGAAAAACAGATCCTGCCAGATGAATCTATATGATATAATATAATATGAATCTCTTCTTTGACAATGTGACAAAATTAATGAACTAGCGAAATGCTGTGGATATAATTTACTCTGACTTCAGTAAGGCATTCGATAAAGTAGACCACAACCTACTATTTGATAAGAAAGAAAAGTGTGGGTTAAACACCATCCAACACAGATGGATTCGTAACTAGCTGACCAACTGCACTCAACATATAATCCTTAATGGCACTATGTCTACATGGAAGGAGGTATGCAGTGTGGTACTCCAAGCCCAGTACTCTTCAATATCTTTATCAATGATTTAGACAAGGGGATAGTAAGGGAACTCATCACATTTGCAGTGACACCTAGGTGGCAGGAATAGCCAACATTCCAGAAAATAGGGTAAAAAGATACAGAAGGATCTTGACATAGTTGAACACAGAGCCTTATAATAACAAAATGAAATTCAGTGGTGAAAAAAACAAGTTTCTACATTTAGACAGGGAAAACCAATGCCCAGGTATAGAATAGGTGGTACCTGGCTCAATTGTAGTAACTGTGAGAAGGATCTTAGTCCCAACAGACAATCACTTAAATATGAGCCAGCAGTGTGCTGCCCCTCCCAAAAAAACCAACACAGTCCTAGGCTGCCTTGACAGAGAGATAGAATCAAGATCAGGTGAAGTACATGTAATCCTCGATTTACAACAGTTCACTTAGTGATCATTTGAAATTACAACAATACTGAAAAAAGTGACCATTTTCACAATAACCACTGCGACGTTCCCATGATCATGTGATTTACATTCTTAACAAATAACTTGCATTTATGGTGTTTGCAGTTTCTTGGGGTCATGTGATCACCTTTTGCAACCTTCTGACTAGCAAGTCAATGGCGAAGCCAGATTCATTTAATAACCATGTTACTAACTTAATAACTGCAGTGATTCACTTAACAAATGTGGTAAGAAATGTTGTAAAATGGGATAAAACACACTTAACAAATCTCTCACTTAGCGACATAAATTTTGGGCCCAACTGTGGTCATAAGTTGAGAATTACTGGTACTAGTACCACTTTATAATGGCTTGATAATACCACACTTGAAATATTGCATCCAGTTTTTGATTTGTCTTAAATGGTATAGTTTTTCCTGCTTGAACCTCCAAGGCCCCTTCTAACTGTTATTCTGTAAAGTGACTCACACCCAATCCTTGTAGTCAGATAATCAGAGTTGGAAGGGAACTTGTAGGTCATCTAGTCCAATCCCCTGCCCAAGCAGGAGACCCTACACCATTTCTGACAAATGGCAGTCCAATCTCTTCTTGAAAGTCTCAAGTGATGGCGCTCCAAGGGCAAGGTGTTCCATTAGTTGATTGTTCTCACTGTCAGAAAGTTTCTCCTTACTTCCAGGTTAAATCTCTCCTTGTTCAGTTTCCAGTTGTACATACAACTGTCATAGCATCCCTGTGATTAGAAGATCAAAATTTGCATGCTTGGCAACTGATATGTATTTATGATGTTTGCAATGTCTCAGGTTCATTTGTGACCTTCCCAGCCTGCTTCTAACAAGCAAAATGAATGGATTAGCTGGATACACTTAATGACTGCATGATTCACTTAACAACTGCAATGATTTGCTTAACCACGGTGGCAAAAAAAGGTCATAAAATTGGAGGCAGCTTACTTAACAACCACCTTGCTTATCAATGGAAATTCTGTTCCAAATGTGTATTACCTTAAAGATCACATGTATTTTGCAAAACAAATTATTTGAATTAGCATTGACAAATAATAGAGAGCAAAACCTGTTGAAACCCACATTTTCACTTTTTGCCAAGGGCAGAAGGAACTGGATGAGCTTTTTTGCAATGTTATACTTAAAATCCATTCAAGGTTTTTGGAAAGATGTGGACATGAAAAACTATTATGAATGTGAGTTGTTAAGACGTCCATTAATCAATCAGGCCATTTTCATTCAGGCTTTGTTTTAACCCTCAGATGAATAGACCCACACCATTCTCAGCAATGAACTAGACAAGAATCCAAGAAAGCATTTGATAGGGGTTAAATTTTACTGGCAGGGCTCCAAGGACATTTTTGCAAGGGAGAGGGAGGAGCACAAGTTCTCCCTTCATTGTTATTTGTTCTCATTCTACATAGCTATCAGTCTGTGCCTGTTGCTTCCAGAGTGCTGGATCTCAGACCAGTGTGTAAACATGCTTCACTTTTATACAATTTTGCTGGGACTCTTGATCCTTGTCCCTCTGCTAGCCAATATTTTTTCCCCTTATATTTGGCTGGACCTGCGGTTCTTTTTCTCTCTCTTGTGGGTGGAATACAAGTCCAAAATACGTTTGCAGCAAAATCCATCATTCACCCTCCTGGACTGTTTTTTAGACAAGGTCCTGAAACATCCAGAGAAGCCTTTCATTCTCTTTGAAGATGAAATTTATTCCTATCATGACATTGACAGACGTAGCAACCAAATGGCCAGAGTGCTAAAGGACTATGTGAAGCTGAAAGAAGGGGAAACCATGGCTGTTTTCTTGAAGAATATCCCTGCCTATATCTGGATCTGGATGGGCTTGGAGAAGATTGGCTGCACCATGGCATGCATCAATTATAACATCCGATTAAAATCTTTGTTGCATGTGTTGAAATCCTGCAATGCCAAAGTGCTTCTGACAACCCCAGGTGAGTTAAACCAAACAATTATGTCCACTGATCATGAAATGTATATTTTCACTGTGAATCTGAGGCTGCTTGATTTCAGCTCTCTCAAGAGGAGGGAATCTCAGTGATCTTTGACCCTTCCTGTTTGCTTTAACCCTTCCCTTTGTGTTATACACATATCTCTGACACAGCACTTTCATTTTTTTTCATGTTAATCTTCATAGGTTCTGTAAATTTGTAAAAAAAAAAAAGATTATACGGTACATTGATTTCCAGTTGAACTATAATCAAAGGTCTACAGCTCAGCTTCTGCTTGTCTCAAACGCAGGGATTCTAGAAATCGAATTCTCCTTATGGTCCGAGTTAATTCACTTTACCTAGAATATACTCCATCCTAAATGTCAATTCTGTGGCAGAAAAGTTAGCAGATGAAGTGAACTTTTCTCTTTTACCCAGGTTCAAACTAATTCCACCACCTACTTGCTTACTTCCAAGTTTCGTGCAGTGTGCTGCTGCTATGAATTCAAAACTTTATTTTAATCAAACCTTAATCAAAATATTTGCTCTTTTTCAAAAAAAAAAAAAAGATTCAGTAACTTAAAACTTGTTTTCTTTCCCTTATTTCATTTATTTTTTCTTCATGGGGAAGACCTAAAAAAACCCAGTGAGGTTCCTGGAAAGAGGGAAGAAAAAAAATACTGTGAAAGCAATTTAGAAAACATTTTTGCCTGAAAAGAAAAGAGAGCAACTTAATATTTGAACTGAATGTCAAAAGAAAGTGGAAATGAATGTAATAGAAAGAAAGGACACTAAAAATGTTTTGCAATCTCATCTGAACAGACCGTTATCACAACAATGAGCCTTTTCCTAATTGCAATAAACTATAATCCAAACATGTCCTGACAACATTTTTCCATTATGTCAAATTCTTCTAATCTCCTGCCTGAGGGGGAAACAGTCAATTAGTGCTCCAACTATGTAGACCAACTTGTTTTTGCTTCTGTTGATCAGATGAGCTGATGTATTTCTGGTTGAGCAGGAATATGTCTCAAACTTTGGATAAAGCAATTTTCCTTTTTAGTCCATGATGTTTGGAAAGTTTGTGGAGAAGCCAGTTTCCCAATGGTGAGAACCACCACTCACCCACTGTCAGGCTTCTGCACATACATTCTAGAGAGATGAAGCTATTAATCTTGTTATGGTGCATGGAGTTGGGATATTATTTTTTGTTTTTGTTTTAATAAAAAAAATAAATTATTCTTGCAGTGACAAGATGCAAAATACCCTGCTTTTCTTTTTCTTTTTGACAGATGAATGTCCCTGATGTGGAGGTCCCTTATGCAATGTCTTCGATGCTTTTTCAGTAGATAACTATCACGTGATATACAATTTTGTTAGAGTTAGGACTCTAACAAAATTGGACTGTTCCTCATGGTCATGTTAGCTTTCCTGCAGTCCTTGAATCAGGAGATAAGTATGCTGACATAAATGGTGCTGCCCTGATGACTTAGCTCAGAGGTTTCCACAGGCACCAACAAAATCAAATGATGGATATGACTAAAGTGACTGAAGTCTGATTCCTTCTCAAGGGGTCCTTGAGCACTTTGAGCTGGGTTGTTGTCTTTCAGATGTTTCATTACCCAAACTAGGTAATATTATCAGTGTTTACTTAGCAATACTGATGGCACCAATGATGTTACCAGTTTGGGTAATGAAGCATCTGCAGGAAACATTTAAGCTTAGGGAGCACCAAGGACCCTTCATTTGAACTCTGAGCTACAAATATTCTCCTTTATGGGTACCATGTATGGGCAGAAAACACTTCAGAAAGCATGCAAATCAGAAAAATTTGCTTGCAGGCACACTTCCACTACTACTACTTATGATGTTACCTAGTTTAGTTGATGAAATGTCTACAAGAAAACAGCCAAGTTCAAAGAGCACCAAGGACCTCTCATTTGAACTCTGAACTACAAATATTTTCTTTATGATTCCTTCTTACATCCATTGGATGCAGGTTAAAAAAGGACAGAGATTTGATCATTCCGTCACATCCACTATTTTAATGTTGTGGGTATCCTATGCAGAGGCCCATCTCTGACCCTATTCTGCCTCAGTGATAAGGCAGGCAACTGATGCTACCTTTCAAACTTGAATCTGGAATAATCCAGATAATTGGACAATTGGTCAATTCTCTTGCCTGCATTTCCTTCCCATCCCACATTACCCGCCAGTGGAAAAAAACAACAATCATTTGATGAAGTAATTTGAGTGACTTTACACCAATACTAAAGACTCCTCTCAGTTTCTCCCTTAGCATTATCTGAAATGCTTCCAAGTGGGAAGCTTTGAAATGGCTCATATCAAAATGTCAAAACTCCTAGTCAAAAAAGTGTCCTCACACAAGGCTTTGGGTGAGTAGTCTGGAATAAGCAAGTAACACCTTCTCTGCAGATTGTGCTCAATGTCTTTGATAAGCACAGCAGAAGATGTGCCACTTCAAGAAGCAACGGTCCTTGGTGCAATATAAGTTCTTTCCACTATAACACATTAACCCAACTCATGTCTATGATATGTACTTTATGGCTAATAAAATGTGTTGTCCTTAAAGGGCAGAAAATGAATATCCTGAAAATGATGGGCTGTGAAGAACAGTATTAGAAAAAGATGTTGCTTCTTTTAAGGGATTGCAGTCTAATGCTACTGTCAACCTTACTGACAGGAAGTCAGCAAATATTTCCAAATTCTCAAACAAGACTTGGGTTCAGGTACAAAACATGACATGGCTAGATAATTTTTTTGCAGAATAATAAGACAGAGTCATTTAAAACAGTTAATTGCCATTAATCAGCATGGTTGCCCTTCTCCTTTATAATAGGATTCTTTATCCCTGCCTTCCTACAGTTTGGCAGGCTCTTGTCTCACATTTTTCATTCTTGAAGCTGGATTACTCCTGGTTGTTGACAAAGCTAGCATCTCTTCCCTGAGAAAGTATGGTTCTCAACTTCTCCACAGATCCATGCATATTCCCATATATATGTTCCCATATATCCTTTCCACTCCAAAGTAACCTCAGCTTTGGAGATTAAAGTTGAAGTATTTAAGGATTGGTTCAGGAATGACATACCTATTCTTCCTCTAAATAGAGGGACCTGTTTAGTCTCTTCACAATCTTAAGAAAAATGAGTTGTTTTCATGTAGACTTAAATACAAAACATGTAATAGCTTACCTAGGGACTAGAAGGGCAGATCTTCTGAATTACTGTCACTATCTAGTGCAGAAAAGCTCTGAAAGTTCCTTAATTTTAGACATACTTTAAAATAATTCAGAATATAGCAACATAATGTAAAAACTGAGCTGTATAATGCTTTTAATGTAAAATTTATCTGATACTTGGAGAGCAAAAAAATACTTTGAAAGAAAGTTTTCTATACTTTGCCATCACTTAGAGTTATCTCTGAATCTTAAGTACTGGGAACCTCTGTGCAACTAGATTGACCAGAGATAATGGATTTACTGAAGTGGTGGAATTACATTTCTAGAATACTGCCATAGAATCATAATATTGTTAATAAAAGGTAATGCACTTCCATAAATGCAGATTGGAAATAGGGAATAAACATTCCTGCCATTGAGAAAGTTAATTATATTTCTTTCTAGTGGAATGGAAGGGCAATCAGAATTAAATAAACCAATAGATTTGATAATGTCCCTAAAAACTTTTGAGTTTTGATTCTAATTAATTGAAACACTATAGGAAATCTATGTAAAAAAGAGACATGAATCTCCTAACTCATAAAACTGCAAGAGTGATTCTGTCAAGAAGTAGTTAGACATATTAATATCAGTTCAGAAAGATTTGATTTACCTACAACCAACAGCTAAAATAAAAAATCTGCCCATGAGCTATGAACTAAACAGTAATAATAAAACAAGTTTAACCAAGTGGCATTTTAATTTATTATTGCTTGCCTATGTGCGGAATAATGCAGTTACCAAAATGAGGATAGAAAATGAGATCCAATCAAAGTTCTACATTCATTCTTCTTTTCAGATTTTAAAAATGCCATTGAAGATATTCTACCTGATTTAAAGGATGAAGGATTACAAGTTTTCTTTCTCAGTGATGATTCTCCCTTTGATGGTGTCGAGGCACTACTTGGACAGGTTAAACTGAGTTCAGATGAACCTGTGCCTGCTTCCTACAGAGCCAGTGTAAAAGTTACATCTACATCTGTGTACATTTTTACTTCTGGAACCACAGGTAAGGAGGAACAATTCTGGAATGTACTAAATGTCTGAAGGACTAAAGATAAATCTAGGAATTTCTGAATCTCTCTCCATTTGAAGACTGGCTAATGCATATTCAAGAATGAAGCAGATGTACATTTTGTCAAGTGAAAAATAGCCTTACCAAGTCCTTAATTTAGGACTTGGCAATCTGCAGTCCAGGACCATATCTGAAACTCTTTTTTGCAACTTTTTTGAAATGATCTCTACCCACTTGCTTTCTGAGATAGAAAACATACAAAAACATGACTTCAAATAAGCTTAGTATGATATAATAAAAATCTGAAAAAAAAATGTCTTCTGAAAATTTTGCACAAAAAATCCCTCTCAAGACAAGGGGAACTCTCTTTCAGAAAATCACAATCCTCTTCCTCCTCCTCCTCCTCCTCCTCCTCCTCCTCCTCCTCCTCCTCCTCCTCCTCCTCCTCCTCCTCCTGCCTTGAATTACCCACAAAATGTGAAATGACTATATATTTGACAAGTTAATTAAAGCATTATCATACTTGACCACACTTGGAATACTGCATCCAGTTTTGGTGGTAATGATGTAAGATCTCGAGACTCTAGAAAGAGTGCAGAGAAGAACAACAAAGATGAAAGCTAAAACATATAAAGAATGGTTACTGGAACTGAGTATGTCTAGTTTCATGGAAAGAAGGACTAGGAGTGACATGATGGCAATGTTTCAATATCTCAGGAGCTGCCACAAAGAAAAGGGAGTCAAGCTATTCTCCAAAACACCTGAGGGCCATACAAGAAGCAATGGGTGGAAACTGATCAAGGAGAGAAGCAACTTAGAACTAAGGAGAAATTTCCTGACAGTTAGAACAATTAATCAGTGGAACAACTTGCCTCCAGAAGTTGTGAATGCTCAAACACTGGAAGTTTTTAAGAAGATGTTGGATAACCATTTGTCTGAAATGGTATAGGGTTTCCTGCCTAAGCAGGGGCTTGGACTAGAAGACTTCCAAGGTCCCTTCCAACTCTGTTATTCTATTTTATTCTAAATCTCCTTTCAGCTAAGCTTGACTCTTGGTGACTATATGGATGCCTCGCTGTTGTTTTCTTAGCAACTTACAGAAGTAGTTTGCCAATGTCTTCCAGCATCTTTTTGTTACATTCCAAGATTAGTTTACAGCTCTGATGGTCTCCCATTCAATTAATAATTAGGACTGATGCATTTTAGCTTTTTGGAAAGAAGTCAAGATTGAATAGGTGCTGCACCATAGCTAAGATGTTCCTTATGCTCCCTTCCTTTTCACTTAAGGACTACCAAAAGCTGCTATCATCAACCAAATGAAGCTGCTCAAGATATCTAAGATGTTTATCATGTGTGACATCAATGCCAAAGACATCATCTACACTCCGCTGCCACTGTACCATTCGGCTGCGCTTCTTATTGGAATTGGAGGATGCCTGGAGGTTGGTATGTACCACCTATCCATCAATAAGTACACGAGAGCTGTGAAAGTAATAGGGATAGGGGGAGAGAAGGGAAGGGAGTTAGAATATATGAATAGTTTGTTTAACTTATTTTTTAAAAAAATGATTTGTAAGTTGTTTTGACTCAGAAGTCTCTGGTTACTGGGGTGTCTAAACATGGATCATGGAAAAGAGAGAAATATGGTGTACATATGCTTTATTCCAAAGTCTAAGCCTCAGTGCAAAATTCTTAGTGCATATCATTTGATATACTTAAATATGGAATTAATAAACAAATATACTTCAAATAAGAAGAAATGGTCAAAAACAGCATCAAAAAGAAGGATGCCACTTACAATCCAGACCACCCCAATCTGGTTTCTTCCAGAAGTATTTGGGACTATAAATTCCCAGAATCTGAAAACTAAATATCTAACCTCAGAATTTGGAGAAAATGAAGAAAAAGAGGGAGGGGGACAATTTAAATATGACAAAAATGTGTCTTCAAGAAAATATGATGAATCACTTGTTCAAAGCAATCAACAGACCAAAACACAGGGATTGATTTTTCAAAAGTATTCTTTAGTGGCCACATTTTATTTGAAAGAAAAAACAGCTGTCAGATCTGCAAAATGCTTATTAGCCACACATTATCAACCCACACTGGTTTTCTGATGAAAACAACCTTCCACTCTGAAGTCATTCTTCAATATAATGTTTTTAGCACTCAGTCAAGGAGATGTTGGTTTTCAGAAGGCCTGAGATACAGGAGAAACTCCAAATCCCATACTTTGATTTGCTTTGATGGTATTTAAGTCTGTTCCATTTGTTCCACTTTTTGATTGGAACATATTTTTTTCTATTGTTTTGCTGTACTATGACATACAAACGTCTTTTTTTTTTCTCACAAGGAGCTACATGTGTTTTAGGGCCGAAGTTCTCTGTTTCAAATTTCTGGAATGACTGCAGGCGATATCAGGTTTCTGTAATCCAATATGTGGGCGAAACAATGCACTATTTATGTAATGCACCAAAGGTAAAAAAAGGCATATAAATAAATTAATAAACAGATTAATGAATAAATAAATTTGGTGAGCGGGGTAGGGAGATGAAGATTGCAAAGAATGAAAATGAGTAATTCTGCCATTTTCCTTGTACCTTGGGTATATAACTTTATTGTGCATATACAAATACTCCATTTACACATTAACTTCTGCATTCATACATTCCTGAAAACCCTGCCCTTTCTACTTACACTTGGAAATTAGAAACTACCTCCAATTACCTCAGTAGAGATTTATTTTGAAACCTATAGTGTCTGTTGTTTGTTTTGAGGGAACAATATTTCAGTCTCCAATAGCACTTTTGTTCAAAGCTACCTTGAGGCCTTGACATTTCTCCCTTGATCACAAGGGAGTCTGTTTTAAAATAATTATACCTGCAGTTTTGGGAAGTGGGGTTTAGCATTGGGGATAGGGTTTAGCTCTCAGGAGGGAAGCTATGAGCTTAATGGAGTATATATGTAACTTTGTCTTAGAAAATATCTTCTTTGCAATCAACTGCTAGAACGAAAGAAGACGTAGAGGTAGTGTTCAAATTGTGATGTAAGTTTTGATGATTGTAAAGTGAGTCACTGTATGACTGGGCTTGATTTTATGACTTTTTCCATAGCAGTTGCTAAGCAAATGCTGAGGTCATTAAGTGAATATTACAATCAAACCCATTGTTTTCTTTGGGGCAGTTTTTGCAAGAAACTGGCAGTAAACATTGATTTATGGCAAAATTGTTGGTAAATTGTGGTCATATAACCATGGCGTACTGCAAACAGCCATAAATATGAGCTGATGGCTTAGTGCCCAAAATTTGTTCATATGACCAGGGGGCACAGATCATAAGTAGTTTTGGGGAGTTTGTTGTAACTACAAATGGGTCACTCAACAACCAGTTGCAACTGGGGGACAACCTGTATTTTTTTTGGGCTCAGACAAAAAATGGGGTGGGGGCAAGGAGAATGGGTGAGGTCTTAAAGAATGGTTGGAACTTGGTGAGAATCTAATAGAAAGCACATAATTTCTCATAGGCTGTATTCAGTCTGCAGGCAAAAGTGTTGATCTATGTCCACCAAACATCACTGCAACCTTTCCAGCCAATTTAGAACTAGAGTGTGCAATATGCATGTGCAAAAAGTACATCATCAAAGTCACTGAGTATGGTGCATTTTTTCTTCATGCACCCTTACCTACTCATCTCTAATGATCTAAGTGCTAGAGCCCACTGTAACTACATAGCCAAAAAGGCATTAAGAGTTGTTAACCTAATCCTACATAGCTTTTTCTCTGGTAATATCACACTACTAACTAGAGCATACGAAACATTTGCTAGACCTATACTTGAATACAGTTCATCAGTCTGGAACCCACATCATGCATCTGATATTAACACAGTGGAGAAAGTGCAGAAGTAATTCACAAGAAGAGTTCACCGCTCCTCTACTCATTGCAGAATAACTTATGCCACCAGACTTGAAAATTTAGACCTAGAAAACCTAGAACTATGCTGCCTTTGGTCCGAACTAAATATAGTATATAAAATCACACATTGCAATGTACCTGTAAATGAATACTTCAGCTTCAACCATAACAATACAAGAGCATACAATAGATACAAACTCAAGGTTAACCGCACCAAACTTGATTGCAGGAAATACGATTTCAGCAACAGAGTGGTCAATGTCTGGAATACTCTACCTGACTCTGTGGTTTCTTCCCTAAACTCCAAAAACTTTAACCTTAGACTATCTACTATTGACCTCACCCCTTTCCTAAGAGGCCTGTAGGGATCGTGCATAAGTGCACCAATCGTGCCTCTTGTCTCTGTCCTACTGTTTCTTTTTTTATTTTTATTATATGTATCCATTTCATGTATTCATAACTATGTTGATACTTATACCTGTTATCTTGTAAGTGATTGACAAATCAAATAAATAAATAAATACATTAGGATTAAAAAGAATAATGTTTGATCCTTATTTAGCATAGAGGACAAAGAAACTATATATCAATAAATATTATTGAATGTTGTAAAGATTCTCTTGCTAACTTTGCAGAAGGACAATGATCGTGACCATAGTGTGAGACTGGCCATAGGCAATGGCATGAAGAGAGAAGTCTGGAAAGAATTTCTGCACCGATTTGGATGCCTTAAGGTCTATGAGTTCTATGGAGCTACAGAAGGCAATATAGGCTTTATTAACTACATTGGGAAAGTTGGAGCTATAGGAAGGATTAACTTCCTCTATAAGGTAACAAAATTAAACTGGGATGTTGCAGACATATTGAAGAGAATCTAGGAAGCTGATGGACACAATCCCAGTTACCACTGTAGCACCTTCAATTTAGAATTATTGTTTGAACTGCAATTCTTATAATTCAAGCCTGCTTGAAGGTTATAGGAATTGTTTTGTCCAGAGAAATTATATTACTTTTCTGATGTTAGCGGTCTAGCTGAACCCACCCTTTCAATATCTGTATCAGTGTTTGTCAACCTCGGCAACTTTAAGATGGATGGACTGACTGAATTCTGGGAGTTGAAGCCTACCCATCTTAAAGCTGCCAAGGTTAAGAAACATGGATGTATGTATGTGAACACTAAAAGAAGCTCTTAGTTTTAAATGGACAAAGTTTTGTGTGAAATGCCATATACTTGAAATACATGTTACAAAAAGAATATCAATCTTGGCAACTGTAGGATTCCCAGTATGGGGCCACCTTACTAAATGATGAAATAGTACTGTTGAGCATTATCAGAATCTAGAGGCTGTCATATTTCTGCACAACTAAATATAACCAAAATAAATATGTGCTCCTTCCTTCTGTTTAAAACCTCTCTTTTTCCAGTCATGTCATCCCAGATTTTTGGAAGGAATAGAATAGAATAGAATAGAATAGAATAGAATAGAATAGAATAGAATAGAATAGAATAGAATAGAATACTTTATTGGCCAAGTGTGATTGGACACACAAGGAATTTGTCTTGGTATAAATACTCTCAGTATACATAAAGAAAAGGTACATTTGTTAAGAATCAAGAATCATAACGTACAACGCTTAATGATAGTCATAGGGTACAATCAACAATCAAATCATACTAGGAAACAGTCAATATAAATCGTACGGATACAAGGAACAAAGTTACAGTCTTACAATCACAAGTGGGAGGGGATGGGTGATAAGGAGTGATGAGAAGATTAACAGTAATAGTAGTGTACACTTTGTAAATAGTTGAACAGTGTTGAGGGAATTATTTGTTTAGCAGAGTGATGGCTTTCGGGGGAAAACTGTTCTTGTGTCTAGTTGTTCTGGTGTGCAGTGCTCTATAGCATCATTTTGAGGGAAGGAGTTGAAACAGATTATGTCGGGATGTGAGGGGTCTGTAAATATTTTCACAGCCCTCTTTTTGACTCGTGCAGTATACAGGTCCTCAATTGAAGGCAAGTGGGTAGTAATTGTTTTTTCTGCAGTCCTACTTATCCTCTGAAGTCTGTGTCTTTCCTGTTGGGTTGCAGAACCAAACCAGACAGTTATAGAGGTGCAGATGATAGACTCAATAATTCCTCTGTAGAACTATATCAGCAGCTCCTTGGGCAGTTTGAGCTTTCTGAGTTGGCGCAGAAACAACATTCTTTATTGTGCTTTTTTGATGATGTTTTTGATGTTAGGTGTCCATTTTAGGTCATGTGATATAGTAGAACCTAGAAATTTGAAGGTCTCTACTGTTGATACTGTGTTGTCTAGTATTGTAAGAGGTGGTAGTATGGGAGGGTTTCTTCTAAAGTCTACCACCATTTCTATGGTTTGAGTGTGTTCAGTTCCAGATTGTTCTGGTTACACACGAGGCAAGTTGTATAACCTCTTGCCTGTATGCAGATTCATTGTTGTCTCGAATGAGACCAATCACTGTTGTGTCATCAGCAAACTTCAGTATTTTAACAGATGTATCATTTGAGATGCAGTCATTGTTATATAGGGAGAAAAGACATGGAGATAGCACAGAGCCTTGGGGGCCCCCTGTGCTGATTGTACAGGTATCGGATGTGATTCCGTTGAGCTTCAACTGCTGCTTCCTGTCTGTTAGGAAGCTTATGATCCACTTACAAGTGTATTCAGGTACCGCTAGCTGGTTTAATTTACTTAGAAGAGTGTCTGGAATGATGGTATTGAATGCTGAACTGAAGTCTACAAAGAGGACCCTTGCGTAGGTATTTGGAGATTCAAGGTGTTGTAGGATGTAATGCAGAGCCATGTTAACAGCATCATCTGTCAATTTATTTGCTCAGTATGCAAACTGCATGGGATCTAACAGCGAATCCGTGATGGTTTTCAGGTGGGACAGCACAAGCCTTTCAAAGATTTTCATAACTACAGATGTTAGAGCAACTGGTCTGTAGTCATTCAGTTCCTTGATGCAGGGCTTCTTTGACACTGGGATGATGGTAGAACGTTTGAAGCAGTAAGGAACATAGCACATCTCTAGTGATCTATTGAAGATTTGGGTGAAGATGGGGGCTAATTGGTCAGCATACACTTTTAAGCAAGAAGGAGTTATCTGGTCTCGCCCTGGTGCTTTTCCTGGCTTCTGTCTGGGTAATAGATCTTGCACTTCTTTTTCTGTGATCACCAGAAGTTGTGAGCCCAATGGATTGGGGCCAGTTGTAGGAGGTTTGGCTGTTGTTGGTGTGTCTGAGATGTGGGTTGTGGAGATAGGTGGTTGTAGTTTCTTTTCAAACTTGCAGTAAAACACATTCAGATCATCGCAGAAGCTAACATATGATGTTACAGTATCTCTGAGCTCATCTAGGTCTGCAAAGGCATCTTTCAAAACATTCCAATCAGTGCAATCAAGGCAGGCCTGGAGTTTCAGCTTTGCCTCATCCGACCAAGTCTTCACTGATTTAATTGTTGATTTAATGGTTTTAATCTTTGTCTGTAGGCAGGTACAAGGTGAATCATGCAGTGGTCAGAGTATCCCACAGCTGCTCATGGTAAAGACCTATAAGCATCTTTTACTGTTGTGCAGCAGTGGTCTAAAGTATTTTTGCCTCTGGTGGGACAATTTACATGCTGGAAATATTTTGGGAGCTCTTTCCTTAAATTAGCTTAATTGAAATCTCCTAAAATGATGGGAAGGGAACCTGGGTGTTTGGCTTCAGCCTCCATAATTTGATCAGCAAGAGTTTGTAATGCCTTGTTTACACAGGCTTGTGGAGGAACATACATAGCTATTAGGAGAAATGAGGAGAACTCGTGGAGAGTAAAATGGCTTGCAGTTGATGTGTAAAGACTCTAAGTTTTTATCACAAAACTTATTTTTTATAGTTATATCCTGAGACCAGCTGTTGTTGATATATACACATAATCCTCCACCCTTTGTTTTACCTGATGTCTCTTCAATTCTGTCTGATCTAAATGTCAGAAATCCTGGGATGTATATGGTGTTGTCCCCATGAATTTGTGGATTAAGCCAGGTTTCAGTAAAACAAAGAACAGCTGAATTATGAAAATCAGAATTCCATCTATTTAAGAGATGAATTTCATCCATCTTGTTAGCCAGTGAGTGTAAATTAGTCAGAAAGATTGAAGGGAGAGGAGTTTTTCCCCCCCTATTCCTTAGTCTGTTTAAAATTCCCGCTTGTTTACCTCGTCTCCTCTTCTGGCATGGTCGCTTCTTCGCTTTCTTTGTTGTAATCCATAGCACTGGGGAATTGGTTAGAATCTCCTCCGCGTTTGCAAAGACAGGTGGGGGTGGAGAATCAGAAAGCTGCTCCTTTAGGAAACATTGCCTAATTCTTAGCAGATGGTCTCATGAGTATGAAATCTGAAGTGAATTGCAGATAATAATAATAATAAAGAAACCATTAGAGAGCATTTCACCAAGGCAGCTGTCGTCGCCATCTTGGCTAGTTTTTTAAAGGAATATTTATTTGTTTGTTTGTTTATATGTCATATAACTAAACTACCCATCTTCCTTTAAGAGGGACTCTTTATACTAATAAAATGTTAATAAGTTGGTTTAGCCTCTATAAATAATAGTGATTTTGTAATAGCTCAAATTCCCAACAACCCCTGTTTATGCAGCAGTATGTCAATTTCTGGGACTGAAGTCAAGCACATTTGGAGCACAACTAAATCATTGGGATAATATATTATATCTCATAATAATATTTAACATTTGTTTATTCTGAAATGTGTTACTCCATAACCACTATAACAATCCTGTAAAGGACACAATATTATTATTTCAGACAAATAGACAACAAACATGAAAAAGGAAGATGAAATTTGAATCAAATACCTTGTAATTAGCTTGAGGTCTTTGAGATAATATTATAGATTCATCAATTTTGATTTCCTATTCTGCACCCCTTTCTTTGCTTCTACTTGCTTTAGCTAAATTATTTGGCCAATGTAACAGGAAAAATGGGACCTAGTACAATTACATACACACCAATGATAAGACCATGAGAATGGAGAGGACACCTTGTTCCATTAATGGAGAGACATCCCCATTTGGAAAAATCCTGAGGGAGGGATTAGTTTTTTTTAATTTTATGATCTGAACAAATATTATTATTCTGTTCTGTAATAAAGCCCAACATTCCATGAGGCACGGTGAGATTTCACACATCCATTGCTGCTTCTTCTCCAAAAGAATTAGCCCTTATAGCAGCTATCTTACATTGATGTACAGCTTATTGTTAATCATCACAGCCAAGATTTTTCCTGGTGTAATGCTTCCATCCAAGCTAAGAATGTTGCTATTTAAATATAATGTTTTCTGGTTGAAGGACAACTTGTTCCTCTTGCCACAGTCTTTCAACCTGTCCAGATTAGACTATGGATTGGTCTCATTCTATCATTCTGAATGTTGATTACATCTTCCAGTTTTTTGTCATCAATTTTGCAGCTCATCAATTTTGTTATTCCAATCATTCATAAAGAGATTGACTAATATTGGCCTAAAACAGAACCCTGTAGGACCCTACTGCTTTCTGCTCTTTATCTACTGCTATGAATGCTGAATCTCTGAAGTTAAGAAATCAATTTCTTTGCTGAAACTGAGCTAAATATATACATAACATTCTCTTTAACTCCTTTTAAGAAGAGATAGGACAATCATTTGTCTGAAATAGTGTAGGATTTCCTGCTTGAGCCAAGGGTTCAAGGTCCCTTCCAATTCTGTTGTTCTGTTCTGTTATTTATCTGCCAAGGTAACTGTTTTGTCAAAGAAAGAGACAATATTTGTTCTATCTGACCTATTCTGGACAATATCATGCCGATTCCTAGCAATCCTGACATTGTTTTCAAGATGCTTACAAATGCCCTGTTTTATCATCTGCTCTAACAACTATTTAGATATTGAAATTAGGTCACTGGTTGATGATTATTGGAATCCTTTTTCTTGAAGGGGGTAACAATACTTCTCCGGCATCTTTGCAGTCCCAAGTTTTTTTTGCAAGTGGTTTGTCATTGCCTTTCTTCTAGGGCTGAGAAACAGTGACTATCCAAAGTTATCTAGTTGATTTCCATCGTTAAGGAGTAGGTCAATTATTAAAGAGTGCTGTCTTTCTCTCTCATTGTTAAAATTAGCCTTTCTAAAATCCATGGCATGTTTTAACTGGTTTTTAATTAGTTTTTTAAGCAACTCTAATAATGGGTCACTTTAACATTATTAGCCAATTTCTTCTTATTAATAAGGACATATTTAGATTTCTCAAACCCAATCGAGCCTTTTCAAAGAAAAAAAGTCAAGCATTTATCCGTATTTGACAGAACTAAAACAGATGTCAAAAGGATTTAAAAGTTTCTATCGTAGTTATGTCTTGAAGCTTCAGTTAATCTGCTTCAATAAATCTTCATCTACCACTTGTGACTGATTTGATTGTCTATGGCAGATTTCTAGTAAGCCACCCTTTCTGTTAGCTTATTTTAATCCAAATGTTACCATTAAATCAAATGTTCTACCACTGGAATTCATCCACCTTATTTCTATGATCCCTGTTATATCATACTTGATTCTGTGCCTCATGACACTCAGCTCATCTTGCATGTTACCTATAGAGTACTTTTTTTTGTATAGAGGCATTTGAGATAATCGGATAGACTCCTTATATTCAATTTCCTTTTTCCTTTCCCCCTTTATAAAACTTAAACTAGTCATTTCCCAAATGCTTTGCTTTCGTACTGTGTTCAGTTTATTACTTGCCAATGTATTACTCGTCCATGACTGTGTTACTCTTTCTCCCTTTTAGTTTAAAACCTTCTGATCAGGTTAGCCAGTTGTTTTCCAAAAACATCATTCCCCACTTTTGTGAGATGAATTCTACATCTGCAAAACCATCCTCCTTTCTATATGCTTGCACCAATTTGGAATCCCAAACATGGACCAATGTTGCCAGCAAAAGTTCACTAAAAAAACCTTTTCATTTTCCTGAGTCTTGTTTTCAATGGGAAGTAGCAATAAGAAGTTCACTTGTCCCCTAAGGTTCTTCATTCTCTTCTCAAAAGCCATAAAATCACTTGTTATACCCTAGAGCAGTGATGGCTAACCTATGACACGCGTGTCACTCATGACACGCCGAGGCACTTTGACTGACACGCCTGTTGGTGTGGAAAACCTGCACATTTAGAGGCTGCCTGTGCTCTGCTCCAATCCCTGCTCCCTGCTTGTTGCGTGGAGGTGTGGTGTCACCGCTGCCACAAGATCTTTGCAGCAGAGAACCAGTTTTAACCGCCATAAACTGAGGTTTGTCAGTTTCATTACCTCAGGAACACTACAGGAGGAAAGGAGATCCATGAGGTTCACAGCCCTGTAAGGTGGCCTTCCGATCCCCACATCCTGCACCTGCAGCCCTGAGACCAGGGAGACGAGTTTCACAGCCCTGTGTGATCACCCCAGCCCAGTCCATCATAAACCAAATTATTGATATTTCTTGAAGTGGCACATGACCCGAGGAAGGCTACACTTTTTCCCGATTTTCGACACACCAAGCTGAAAAGGTTAGCCATCACTGCCCTAGAAGTCATGCCTTGCATATCATTTATGACCATATGAATGAATAAGAAAGATCTGATAAGGCTCATTAGACTTGCAGAGGCTTGTCAGTCTTTCCATCATATCTTGAATTCAGGCACCTGAGAGGCAACATACATGTTGGGATGGAAGATCTAGATGACAAATGGAAATTTGCCTCTTGGGGAAAAAAATTACTTACAATTCTTCTCATTCTTTTGGTGATTGGTGATGGATTACTTCCACTTGAATTAATTAGGAGTATTTTGTTTATAGCTGACTCATGTTTGTAAAACTTCCTGGAGGGAAAGAGGTTGGAAATTATTCGTTTCATGAAATTGTGAGCTTCATATTGCTTATAAAAACTACACGGATGAATAATGATGACCAATTTTGTTGTAATATAGTGTAATGGTATTCACACCTGAATAAGGAATTAATTCATCTTGAATGAATTAGGAATAAACATGATATTTGGATTTCCAGTAAGCACATTAAATCTTTGTTAGTTTATTACCTCTTTAAATAAATTATTGGTTAAACTTATTTTAGGGTTCCTTTAAAGCAGGAGTGTCAAACTCGCATCATCATGGTGGTGTCATGTGATGTATAGGGACTTTCCCCCCCTTCGCTAAACCGGGCGTCGGTGTGGCCAACATATGACGCATTTGGCCCATGGGCTGGGAGTTTGATAGTCTTGCTTTAAAGAGAACAGTAGGAGAGGGAAATTATTTGAATCTTCTGCATCAGGTTCTCCTTTTTTCTCTTTTCCTGATAGTATCATAGTTTCACAAGGTGTAGGAAACAATATAAATCCAGCTTTTGGGGGAAAACATGCTTTGCCTAGGCAAGGCAAATACTCCCTCTTGGATGCCTTAGATTTGTCAAAAAATTGCTTAGTCTCTGAATATACTTTCTTGAAAGATCTGGTGGGATAATGATAAAAACTGATTTTTGTCAGTTATGGCTTTGTCTAAAATGTTTACATAGAAGTTGCTTAATCGGAAGCAAACTCGGAATGCCATATAAATATCTCAGCAAGAGGTTAATGTATTAGATACACCAGGGGGTACTGTTGTGCGATTCTAGGTTTGTCATACCTATTACAAAGAGATATAAACCATATGACCAAAATAATATTTCAGCCAATTAATTCCATGGAGAAGTTTTTTAAAACTTTGGCAAGGGTTTTAAATTATTTGTTGTAAAAAAAAATCTGGCACGGCTGAAAGTGAAATCAACTAAATACACAATTGAATCTATGACATCTCTAAAGGAAGGACATCATTGAGAACATACAGAATTCTGCAAAAACTTAGAGAGAAGAAAGTTATCATGACTCTAAAAAATTCATAAAAGATTATCACTAATATAGTGATGAGTGAGATGAGGAATATTTGCATTTTCAAGTAATCAGAACTGGGCAAATTTCTGAGGACCCGCCTCCTAAATCTTCTGTGGCCGGGAAAAATTATGATGAAAGATGGCATACAAATTAGACTATCTACTAGATAGTAGTGACATCATCTCACCAACTAATATATGTGGAGGGGGGGCAAATGAATTGTTCTGCTGGTGTAGTAAAATGCTTGGCTTGCAAATTCTTGATAATCTATGTCAACCATAACGATATGTGTAAAAGAAGAGACAAGCCTTCAAATTTATTGATCAGCAGCAGACAGTATAAATCTCTCTTCTCTGATCCTTGCACACCAGAACAACCAAATAATGGCATTTCACTACTACAAAACTGCAAAAGACTGTCAGTGGACAAACCACTGTGATTCCACACCATCCCTGTATTGAGTTCAGATGAAGTTGAAGTTGTTTACGAACTCTAGCTCCAGATGCTCTCTCTTCAAAGCTTTGGAGAGTGTCTGAAGGTCCAGTTGGTCTGAGCTGTCAGGAGGGATGACATGATAAGCACTACATCTCAGGCTTCTTCATGCTCCTCTAAAATACTCAATGGATCAAAGATCCATTGAAGCCCTTACCACATTCTCTATTAGATCTTTGAATTTAATTGTTATTGTGCTTACAAGCTGGGTAATATACACATATATTTGGACATATGGCACCTGACATGTGATCACTGATATATCTGTGATTATACCTTTATCAGCATGGTTATGGCAAGAGTGGGTAGGATTTGCTTAAAACACTTGAAGAGCGCTAGGTTGCTAGTCCTGAAAGGAGAGCAGTATATTAAAAATATACTTGATTTAGATCTCTGGTCAGCTACAAAGCCTATTGGATATGTTCAGGTCACTCATCCAACTCAATCAGTCTCTAAGTATGATTCGAATAAGGTGGAAGAGGGCTACATATATCCCTTGATGTTACTGGAGGGAAGATAGTTTTATGAACTGTACATTTGGAGATGCTAAATCAGTACTCTGAAGGGAAAATGACAAGGATGCAATTTCTATCCCTTAAAACAGGGGTGTCAGACTCACATCATCACGGCAGGAGTTTTTTCCCCCTTTGCTAAACCAGTTGTGGGCATGGCCAGCATGTGACGCATCTGGCTTGTGGGCTGGTAGTTTGATCGCCCTGCCTTAAAAGATTGAGACCAGAAAATCCCCTGGGTTTTGTTTCCTTTAAGGATTTCTATTTTAAAACATAAAGTAAAAACACCCCAAAATCACCACCCAGCTGTATTAATTTTAATGTTTGAAAAATAGTACAGAATTCTATCATTTAGAAGTCATCAAACTGGGAGCATTAGTTCAAGGGGCACACAAAGAGTTGTGTGGTTCTTTATGACCAACTGCTGGAGTTGTTTAGAATTTCTGCCTTGCAGCCCTTACCAATTTCCATTTTTTCTGCTTCAGAAACTGGCAAAGTTTGAATTAATTCAATATGATATTGACCAGAATGAGGTTGTGAGGAATGAAAAAGGATTCTGCATCCCAGTGGCCACAGGTATGTTAATACAAATTACATTTTGAAATGAATTGGATTTTGCGAAAGCAAAGTTATGCACTACTTCCAGTGATAAAATGGGTCTTCTTCTTTGTGCCATTGGTCAGATTCAGACCTTGGGGGTTAAGTCCTTGGTTGTCTCAGTGCCACATATGAGTTTTCCACAGAACAGTCACTTGATCACAGCAGTGAATGAGTTGCAAGTTCAGTTTCATGGGAGTGGTTACATGAAACCTCTGGAGAAATCTGATTAATTCTATCCCCCAGCTTTTGGGATACCAACATGAAGGCTGCACTTCATGCCTGGGAAAAGAGATTAAAATATGGTATTCTGGAGATTACAAAAACCAGTTTATTTTTCCCCGTTTTATGGAGGAAGAAATGGAGTTTACATGTTTGTTGTGAATCTGAGCAGTGGAGAGAGGCCCTTGTTGCTAGCCAGGAAATGATCCACTGAGTCTGTGCTCAATTATTGTCTTAGACAGGGCATGTTTTGATTTGTTGTAAGTTCTCTGCAAGTATTGCAAATATATAAACAAGTCTGTGCACATCGAGTTTATACAACAACCAAAACAGTCCAAATCAGTACCATATTTCTTTTTTCCATATGAAGACCTAATATTGTAGAAATTGGTTATGTTAGACAGAGTTGGCAACAATCAGAAGGAAACTGATGTGGATTCTACATAGGATAAACAGGCAAACTTTGTGCAAAATAATTAATAGTCATAAGTCTGCTGTTGAGACTCAAAACAAAGACAAGTGATGTCAGAACATTTTAATTTCCCATGATGCTCTGTGCATTCAATGGAATGAGTTAAACTGCCTAAAGCTTTTAAATAAAACTTGGAAAAGGTGCTACCAGACTAGATGACTTATGTGACAGAAAGACTGACTATCCAGCAAAGGCTTGGCTTCTTTTTAGAGATTTGTTTGGAACTAGCATTACCTTTGAGCTTGGGTTTTCAATACAAAAGCCGCAGGCTAGTTATGCATATTAGAATGTATCCTAATTGAAAAAAAGAATTGAATACATTTATAATGTCTCTATTGCCCTTTCATTTTTCATGCCTGTATCTACTAGAGAAGAGTGAAAAATGAATGTCCTTATGAATTTTTTCCTTCACTATGGTTGGGGCAGGGAGTGAAAAATATAGGGCAAAGAAAATAAAGTGGCAGCCCCTTTGTCTCCTTTGTGAGGGCCGAGTATTACTGTTTTTACCAACTGCAACAATTCATTTAACAAGTATGGCAAGAAAGGTCGTAAAATGAGGCAAAACTCATTTATCAAATCTCTCACTTAGCAATAGAAATGTTGGGCTCAATTGTGTTCATAAGTCAAAGACTACCTGTACAGTTTAGAGCAGGGGTCCCCAACCACCGGTCCCCGGACCGGTACCGGTCCGTGGACCATTTTTTACCGGGCCGCAAAGCTTGGGTGCCGCGAGGGGGAGAGAGGGAGAAAAGAGCGCTACGGTATGCCCAGCGCTAGTCTCCCTTTTTCTCTCCTTCTCCCTCTCCCCCGTCAACCACGCACACGCACGCGCGCAGATAAAGCTGTTACTGTTGCTGCTGCACCACAACCCGGAGGAACAGATTGAGCACAGGCGCTGAAGGAGCTCCACAGCGCCCGTCGCCAGAGCGCAAAGAAGCAGCAGCAGCGGCGGCGGTGGCGGCTGCGCCTCCGACTTTTCCGGGGAAGGTCATTCCCTGACCAGTCGTGCTTCCCGGCCCACGCTTGCACCCCTCCCCCCCCACCGCCCACTTCCTCGCAGGCGGAGGCGGGAAGTTACGAGGAATTCGGGCGTGCTTTCTAGCCGGCTGTGCCAAGTCTTTTTTTTTTTGCCCGAGGCTGGAAAGAAGAAGGGCGACAGGTCACTGAGGAAGGTGAGAGAGACTGAGAAGGGAGAGAGAAGCCCGGCTAAAGCAGCTCCGCGCTGCTTTAGGGACTAGTAGTAGAAGGTAACGGTCCGTGGAAGAATAAATAATCGTAAAACCGGTCCCTGGTTCAAAAAAGGTTGGGGGCCACTGGTTTAGAGTATGTGTATTTATGAGCTTAAAAAAGGGAATCAAATAATGGCTACCTTTTTAGTACAAAGGTCTGCATCAATTAGAAAAAAGTTTCATAAGTTTGGGGCTATCAATAAGAAGGCTACATTAAATTCACTTTTCTAGAACTATGCTTTCCTTCACATAAAAGCAACTGCTTGAATGTAATTTATTATTTTTGAGAATTAGAAATGTTTTTCATATACATATATTATAGCAGAATTAATATGACATGTTCATTTTTATTAACTTACCAAATTAAATAAGTAAATCAATCTTTAATTGTTTTTAATTTAAAAAAATAGAATGTTTTCTGGAAAACCCAAAGGGAAATATGTGGAAATAATGTGCTTGCTCGGGAATGAATATTAATTGATTAATTGATTCCTAATTGCAGGTGAAACAGGTTTACTAGTAGGCAAGATCACCGAGAAGACTGCCTTCCATGGCTATGCAGGAGATCTTGAGAAAACAAAGAAGAAACTTCTCCAGGATGTCCTAGAAAAAGGAGACAGCTACTTTAACAGTGGTGACCTCATGATGCAAGACCACGATGGGTTTATATATTTCCAGGACCGAGTGGGAGATACTTTCCGGTGAGTCCCACAGACACTAAAAGCTGATATCCATTCCCTGCTTGCTCCCATCTTTTTAGCATTTTTATAAATAAGTAAAGATGGTGAACAAACCTTCTTCCTTCTCCTTTTTTCCCCTACAACAACAACTCCATGAGGAGGATTGGGCTGAGAGAGAGTGACAGGCCTAAAGTCACCTGAATGACTTTTATAGTTAAGGCAGGATTAGAACTTATGGACTCTTGATTTTTGGCCTGGTGCCTTAACCACTAGATTCTAAAACGGACAGTTTTGCCTCTTTGGGGCAAACAAGACAGTCCTGACTGTTTGCTACTTTTTTATTCTGTTATACATTAATGCTTCCATTCCAACTGGCCAATGTGTATTTTCCTTTCAGCAACCATTTTATTCTGGGCTGCTGAGTTGTCTCTTTTCTAGGCTTCATTGGAAGGCCAAAAGAAGGGTGGGAATCTAGCAATGGAGGGCTGTTCTAATTATCATCAAAGCAGCACACCTGTGGGCACAGTGGCAGAAGTGAATGAAAGCCAGAATAGCTTTCTTAAACCAGCTTCATTTCCAGCTAGTTTATGCCCAAGAACAAGCAGCTGAAGACAGTAATGGGCAACTGCGTCCTCTTCGCTGCTGATGTTAAACTATTCAACATCACCGTCAATGCTACCGTCCTTCAAAAAGACCTTGATTATGTGTCTGAATGGTCTAACAATTGGCAACTCCAAATATCTACCAACAAATGCTCTGTCCTACACATTGGTAAAAAAAAAATCTATATACCAAATACAATCTAGGTGGATATGACCTTGTTGATGACCCTCACTTTGTCAAGGACCTAGGAGTTCTCATATCAAATGATCTAAGTGCCAAAGCTCACTGCAACAGTATTGCCAAAAAGGCTTTAAGAGTTGTAAATTTAATTTTATGAAGCTTCTCCTCTGGTAATACTGTTTTGCTAACTAGGGCATTCAAAACCTTTGCTAGACCAATACTTGAATTCAGCTCTGCTGTCTGAAATCCGCACTGTATATCTGACATAAATATAATTGAGCGAGTCCAGAAGTATTTTACCAGAAGAGTACTACATTCCTCTGTTCACAACAGAATAACCTACAGCACCAGACTTGAGATTCTTGGCTTAGACAACCTTGAACTACGCCGACTAAGATTAGATTTAAGCATAGTACATAAAAATCATATGTTACAATTTCTTATCAGTTAATGAATATTTCAGCTTTAACAACAACAATACTAGAGCGCACAACAGATATAAACTAAATGTAAATCACTCCAAACTTGATTGCAGGAAGTATGATTTCAGCAACAGAGCGGTCAATGTCTGGAACTCACTACCTGATTCTGTTGTCACCTGCTCAAACCCCCGCTCCTTTACCCTCAAACTAACCTCTGTTGACCTCACCCCATTCCTAAGAGGTCTGTAAGGGGCGTGCATAAGCGCACAATCGTGCCTACCGTCCCTGTCCTATTGTCCTCAATTATTAGTTCCTATTTCTTGTATTTAAACATATGTTTATTCTTGTTTCTGTTATATTGTAAGCTTTTTGACAAATAAATAAAAATAAATAAAATAAAAAAATAAAACCTTTTGACTGCAGAATCTACATTCCATATATCTGGCTATGAAATGAGAACACTAACTGGACAGAGTCGCATTACAATCAATAAATTCCTTCCTTCCTCCCTCCCTCCCTCCCTTTCATTTTATTTTGTGTGCGCAGGTATGTGTACTGTGGAGTATAACCAGTGAAGAATTTTAGTAAGGAATAAGTAAAAAGCTTCCAAAAACCAAACTTCAGCTGAATATGGTCTATGGACTTAGAAAGACACGGGAATATAGTAGCTTGAGCCTTTCAGAGAAAATAGATCAAGAAATTACTTGTGAAGGAGGAAGTCTCCAGTCTGAATCTGCTATAAATCAAGGCCAATATTGCGAGGGAACACAGAAGGGCTGAAATTTGGCCTGGTGCCTTAACCAGTAGATCACTTCATCTGAGATTTACAATCATGCTTTAGTAATAAATGAAGGGTTTTTTGTTTTTGGAGAAAATTCAGTTATAATATGAACAAGTGGTGCTAATCACTTCTTTTTCACTGTATTGTAGGTGGAAAGGAGAGAATGTGGCTACTACAGAAGTTGAGACAATTCTTGTGATGCTGGAATTTATTCAAGAAGTAAATGTATATGGAGTACCTGTGCCAGGTAGATCAAAGTATATTCTTTCAGAAAGCTATCTTTAATGTCTATAAAAGAATAATGCCCAGAATCATACCAGGCATTGCATGACCTATCAGTCACAATCCTTAGGGACATTGCTCCCATTGCAAATATTGGATAAGGTCTTGTTTTCTTGAATTTATTATTATTATTATTATTTATTAATAGTGAACTCAAGTATTTCTGAAACAGTTTATAACACATGCTAATAAAAAGTAGTTATTGTGAAATGCTGATTAGTTACAAACTGAAGCTAAAAATAGCATGTTTTAATAATGTTGAGTTAATGTTCAACAATATTTTTAAAATAATGAATAAGGCAGATTTTTGCGAGGCTGGTGGCACTAGTAGGCTATGAAATAGGTTTCGTGGGCATGGAGGATACACATTTAAAAATATATATTCAGAAATAAAAATATATTCAGACAAAAATATTTAGAAAGGAACCTATGGATGTGACATTTTGGCAGAGTAATTATGAATGGTTAAATGATTATTGAATATCTATTTTCTGTGGGTGGGTATTTAAATATACCAACACCTTATAAAATTACCTAGTATTTGTTCAAAGTTTGATATTTTGGTTCTTGTTTTTATTTTCAAGAAATAGAGATTGCTAGTTTAAGCATTGTTACCAATCTTTTCTGTTGTTTTACATTTATTATGATTCATAATAACTGCAGGAAAAATAATAATGCAAGGTTCACTTTGGTAGCCAGATTTTAGAGAACATTTCAGATTGGGTGTTGAGGATACGAGTTGTTTTTCCAATTTGTTTTGTTTAAAATCCCATCTGATATGAATGATAGTTCAGATGTTGTTGTGTCAAAGTTAATAAAGAAAACAACTGAATCAGCCTTTTAGATGGACAAATCAGTTAAATATTAATTTGGGGTTATTTAGTTATTGAAAAATTGATACCACCTTGAACTTTGGGATTTTTTGCAATCATGTGGGCCAAAGCTACTGGATGATAGTTGTTATCCTGCACAGTTATAATTTGTATTAGAACAGGTATTGTTAAGTATGGAGAATAACAGAGACCAGACATCTGACCAGTGACTTCAACTCTTTAATAAAGTGATAGAACATAACAGAGCAATGCTATGGGCAGCAGTAACCCTTTTATAGGGTTAGCTGCTGCCTTATTAACCAATGAAAATGTGCAACAGGTTCAAACTACTGACCAATAAGGACAGTCCCAAGAGTGGCCAATCAGGGACTGGTTCTGGCCCAATCCCAAGTTGTTGTATAAGGACCAATCAAGTGTGCAGGTTTTCAACCCCTAATTTGCATTTAGGTTATTCACTTTTATTGATTCACAACACCCCTCCCCCTTGGGTTCCGTTTGAGGGGAACTGTGATAAAATCCTCAAGATAGGCAGGCCGTTTGGTCTGCCTGGATGATTTCCGAGGCTCCACCGGGTTTTGTCTAATGTCCGGTTCCAGTGGAGCATTTGGATGACCTTTGTTAAATTCTATTTCGCTGCACGGCGATTCCGTGCTGCATTCACTGTGGTTGTCTCTGCTACTGCGTGTTTCTTCGGGGTTTTGCAGTTCGGTTTCCCCCGTATTAAAGTTCCCTGAAGACATCAACTCCCTCCCCGCTTCACGTTCCGGTGCTTCGCTGGGCTGTAGGGCTCCCGTTGACCTGCTATTAGTTGTATCAAAGTCAATTCCCTCGATACTCCCTCCCCCTTGAGTTGGTGAACCGGGGAAGTCATGGCCTCTGGGTGGTAATCTCAATCGGAGCTGGTCTATGTGGCGTTTCCACACCCTCCCATCGTCTGTTAGCAGGCGGTAAGATCTAGGCCCGGTGAGGTGGGTAACGGTTGCGGGTATCCATAACGGGTCGCCGGAAAAGTTTTTGGCAAAGATTAAATCGCCTACCTTAAATTCCCGGCATTTGCTGCTGGAGCCGAAAGGTTTTTCCGGTGCGAAAGCGGGGTGGAGCCGGTCAAGGTGCGATCGTATTTTCTGGCCCATAAGAAGTTCAGCGGGTGTTTTGTTGGTCACGCTGTGGGGCGTGATGTGCTGCAATAAGAGGATTCTATTGATTTTCTCGTCGATGTTGCCAAATTCCATTTTGTGCAAGGTCTTTTTCACAAATTGTACCATGCGTTCTGCACGTCCATTCGCCGCAGGGTGCGCGGGTGAGGTTAGCGCATGGCGGATGCCCCGATCAGCAAGATATTGTTCAAAGGGCAATGCAGTGAACTGTGGGCCGTTGTCCGAGACCAACACGTCCGGAAAGCCGTGTGTGGCAAATAGTCTGTTTAATTTATTAATAACTGAGTCAGTTGTAGTTGTGTGCATTCGATGAATCTCGAGCCAGTTAGAATAGGCGTCGACCGTAATCAGGAAAGTGTGACCTTTGGTAGGCCCCGCAAAGTCAATATGAATACGGGACCACGGTCCCCTCGGCGTTTCCCATTCGGTTGGGCTTGCTTTAGGTGGGGCGTTGCTGACGTCCTGGCAACGTTGGCACGTAGCGACCCAGGCCTCGATTCTTTTGTCGATTCCCGGCCACCAAGCATAGCTGCGTGCGAGTGATTTCATCCGCACAATGCCCGGATGTCCCTCATGCAATACCGCCAACACAGTCTGTTGCAATTTGCCAGGGATTACGACTCGATCGCCCCACAAGATACAGCCTTTTTGGGAAAACAGTTCGGTTTGGCGGGCTTTGAAGGGCGCCCATTCCGGTGCAATTTGGTCCGTTGGCCACCCCCGTTCAACCCAGCGTAGTATGTGTTGCAGAACTGGGTCACGTTTCGTTTCAAAAGCAATGTCTCTAGCCGTCAAGGGTGGTGCCTGTAGAGCTTCAATCTGTAGTGTTGAGAGGGTTGGGGCTGGATCCACAACAGCGTCTGGAAGCGGTGTTCTGCTCAGTGCATCGGCGTGGAGAATCGATTTCCCCGGGCGGTGTTGCAAGGTGTAGTTGTAGGCCGCCAGGAATTCAGACCAACGGGTCATTCTGGGGGATAATATATACGGGGTTGGTTTATTACCCGCAATGATCCCCAGTAGCGGTTTATGATCAGTGATTATTGTAAACGCACGGCCATAAACATATTCGTGAAATCTTTTAACTGCAGCAACAATAGCTAAAGCTTCTTTATCCAGCTGACTATAATTTCGTTCAGCTTTAGCTAAGGTTCGCGAAAAAAACGCGATGGGGGCCTCCGCTCCATTTGGCAACACGTGGGCCAGAATTGCCCCAACCCCAAAAGGTGATGCATCACACGTGATAGTGAGCGGCAGAGTCTCGTTGTACTGCATAAGTACTGAATCAGAAGTTAGCAATTTCTTTACTTGTTGGAAAGCATGTTGTTCCCGTTGTCCCCAAACCCACGTTGCTTTTTTGTCTAATAGTCTATGCAATGGTTCAGCTACTGTTGCTTTGTGGGGTAAAAACACATTATAGAAATTGATAAGTCCAAGGAACGCCTGTAGGTCTGCCTTGTTCCTTGGAGTGGGTGCCTTTTTAATTGCTCGTAATTTGTCTTCGGTGGGATGAATTCCTTGGCTGTCCAGGAGGTATCCCAAAAATTCTACTTTTTCGGTACATAAGTGGCATTTATCTTTTTTTACTCTGAGGCCTGCATTTTGGAATCTTCGTAAAACCTCTCTGAGTCGTTTTTCTAGGATGTCTTTGTTAGGTGCGGCGATGAGTACATCGTCGAAATATGGGACAACGCCTTTTATCCCTTGTAACAACCTTTCCATTAAACTCTGGAAGATTCCAGGGGCGACGCTCACTCCGAATTGGAGCCGGTTGCATTTAAATGCGCCCCTATGTGTTACGATCGTTTGCGCCTCGGCTGTGGTTGGGTCTACAGGCAATTGTTGATATGCCTGGGCTAGATCTAGTTTGGCGAAAACTTTCCCGCCGCCCAGGGAATGGAGTAAATGTTGCACTACCGGTACTGGATAAGCACTTTGCTGCAGTGCGTGGTTTAATGTGGCCCGGTAGTCTCCACAAATTCTTAGGGACCCATCAGGCTTGATAGGCGTCACTATCGGGGTTTCCCAACGGGCGTGGTCGGTGGGTTCCAGTACGCCCTGCGCTATCAGCTTATCGAGTTGTTCGTCGATTTTAGGTTTTAAGGCGAACGGCACCCAACGCGGCTTAAGGCAGATGGGTGCTATTTCAGGGTTCAAGTTAAACGAGATTGGGGTCCCCTTATACTTGCCTAGTCCGTTCGCGAAAACGTCTTGGAATTCTTGCACGAGTGCTTCTTCCCAATCGACGCTTTCGGCCTTGTGGACTCCGGCTACAGTGATTCCGAGCGGCCTGAACCATTGAAGGCCTAGAAGACTAGGCCTATCTCGATCCACGACAGTCAGTGGTAGTGCGACGGTGCGGTCCTTGAATGAGACCTGGAATCTGCGGGACCCGACGACGGGGATTCGGTTTCCCTGATAGTCTTTGAGTATAACCCTTTGAGGGTTAAGGTCTTGTCGGCGAATCGTTGGAATAAGCTGTTGGAGTGTTTTCCACGACACCATCGAGAGGGAAGATCCCGAGTCCACCTCCATCACGCAAGGTTTGTTTTCGATGGCGACTTTTACTCGGATTTTCCCGGCATCAAGGGATGTAGCGTGGCCTATGGTGATTGTTTGGTGGGTCTCTTCCCGCCTGGTTTCTTCACGCCTGGTGGAAGTGGTGGACGGCTTGTTTCTGTAGGAGTGGTTCAATTTTTCTCGGTGTGTGCCGAAGAATCCTGAAGACTGGAATTCGGCCTGTCGGGGTTTGGAGTTCTGTTTGCTTCTGCAAACCTTTGCGATGTGACCGCGTCTCCCGCAATGGCGGCAAAGTGCGTCGAGGAATTTGCAGCCGGATCGTGGGTGATTTGCTCCACAGCCGGCACACGGTCGAAATGAGTGTTGTGTGGACTGATCTCTCTCCGTTCGAAGTCGGTTGACCTCTTCCTCATCGCTGTCGGACGGGGACTCTAGGTCTTCGTGGTGAGTTGATACCGGGTGTCTCTCTGAGCGAGGTGAGGTATCAGTGGCGAGTTTACGTAGCGGTGCGTTGGTGCGGCGCATTTGGGCTGCCGACTTCTTTGTCGCCTCCGCTGCCGAGGCTTCTTTAAGGGCATCGGTGAGGCTGATGTCCCCCTTAGCCATAATTTTGCTCTGGATAGCGCCGTCTTCTAGGCCCAGAACCAGGCGGTCCCGGAGGGCTTCTTCTAAGTCTGCGAACCCGCAGAGGCCTCCTAGGTTCCGGAGGTCCGCGATGTAGTTGGCAAGGCTTTCGCCCTTCCGTTGGTCCTTCTGGTAATATTCATGTCTTCTTACTAGGGTTGGCACGGTGGGTGCGTAGTAAGCCCGTAGTAATGGCTCGAGGATGTCCCAGTCCATTTCTTTTACCTCTGCTGGCTTGGCAAGCGCTTTGCCATTTTAAACACGGTTGGTCCACAATGAGTTAGAAAGATAGCTCTTTTTTTGCCGGTTGTCGCATCTTTCAAATTGTTGGTTTCCAGAAACATCTGGAACCGATCCATGTAGGCCTCCCAGTCTTCAGTTTCTGGGTTGAATGGAGCGGCTGGTACGGCACCGCTGGCCATGTTGCCGTTGATGGTGCGAGTTGACCACGTGCTCTGTTAGTTGCTCTGTAGGTTAGTCAGCTCTTCGGTCTCCGGATCCCATACTCGTCGCCACTGTTAAGTATGGAGAATAACGGAGACCAGACATCTGACCAGTGACTTCAACTCTTTAATAAAGTGATAGAACATAACAGAGCAATGCTATGGGCAGCAGTAACCCTTTTATAGGGTTAGCTGCTGCCTTATTAACCAATGAAAATGTGCAACAGGTTCAAACTACTGACCAATAAGGACAGTCCCAAGAGTGGCCAATCAGGGACTGGTTCTGGCCCAATCCCAAGTTGTTGTATAAGGACCAATCAAGTGTGCAGGTTTTCAACCCCTAATTTGCATTTAGGTTATTCACTTTTATTGATTCACAACAGGTATATTACTGTATTTTTCTCTCTATAAGACACACTTTCCTTCCCCCCGCACAAAGTGGGTGGAAATGTCTGTGCGTCTTATGAAGTTAATATTGTGTCATAGATCATGAAGTATATTACCTCAGGAGTCTCCAACAGTGGACTGGTGCCGGTCCTTTGGTGAATAGCAGCCAGGCCACGGCAGGGTCCTTTTAAAGTGCTGAACCCCACCTCTTCTATCTTTGTCATTGACCATCTCTTATATCTCTTTTCTGCAGTGCAGGAGTCAATAGGCCGAGCTGACACAAGAGGACACCTATCTGTGGTCCTCTCAGGCTCTGCCTCCTTCCCTCACTACACTGCTGTTCCATATTTGACGCTCCATATTCACAGTACTCTGATGGGGACACCTAATGTATTTTTTTCTTGTTTTCCTCCTCTAACCCTAGGTGCGTCTTACGGTCAGGTACATCTTATAGTGTGAAAAATATGGTATATTAGAGCAGGTATTAAATTCTTAGAATATTGAAATTCACAATCCATGGGCTGTATTTTAGTTTTAGCATCTCAACAACACCCTCCAGAAAACTGGGAATGGAGATGCCAATATTATATAATAACAATTTCTGGCAGTGAGATTTTTCCAGATTTCCCCCCTCACACACATACAGAAATATGGCTCAGCGTGGACAGAAAGGGAGGCCTTCTGGGTGAAAAACAGTCTCCTTTTCACTTCAGCTTTCTGCCTAGTTCCCACAAAATGGCCCCAAATCACACTGCCAAAATAACTTATTCTGGCAATGATTTTTGCAGTGAGATTTCTGCTGTTTTTTCAGATCTGGATTTTTTTAAGGACAGGCATGTCGCCCAAAGGTTTTGCTCCCATTCACTCCTTTTTCTTTAAAAGAAACAAGGCAGGCCCTTTATTCAGTACTCTTGTAACTTCGAACAGTTGTTAAACAAATGGCCATAACTTGAGGACTTCCTGTAGTATAGTAGAAGAAACAAATTGGCTTATTTTTATAACTATCCATTCTATCCATGGAGTTTTAGATACTTCTTTTATAACTTGCACTATTTTATATGACACCAGACTAAAGTGCTTTTGTAAGTATTTATTTCTTCATTTTACAATGAATGGTTTACTATTGACTTGCCAAAGAGGGGTTCTGGAATCCAGAGGAACAAAACAATTGGAAAGCAAAAGGTTAAGTCAACCTTTTTCTCTTGCTATTCCTCCAGCGCAAACCTGTGTCTTTCTATTCTGAGAAGATATTTGACCATTCTGATATTTTCTAGGACATGAAGGAAAGATTGGGATGGCAGCAATACGATTAAAGGAAGGGGAATCCTTTGATGGGAAACAGTTATATGAACATACCAAGAATTACCTGCCAAACTATGCTATACCTCACTTTATTCGCATCCAGGTGAGACTCTTGTGTTCTATTGTTGTTTTACCGATCAGTTGATATAATGTGAATAAACTTTGATGGGATTGATAACAATCAAAAACAGACAGAATTCACGAGTGAAAGTTTTGATCCTGCTACCATCTTGACTGGATCTGGGTTGTCTTAATACAGTGTTTCTTAAACTTGGTATCTAGATGTGTGAACTTCTTCCCCATCCATCACTTCCAAAATTGGGTGTTGCTGGATGGGGAATTCTGGGAGTTGAAGTCCACATATTTTAAATTTGTTAAGACCATGTGGCACATTACTGTTTCCTCCAGCAGCTTCTTGTCACCTCCCAGCTTCTTCTGCCTAAGGTAGCCTCTTCCTCTGCCTCATTATAAAATTGATATTCATTCCAATTCATTATCAAGGTAAGTGATGGAATTCAAGAATTTAAGCCGGTGTTGCAGCAAAATGTGCCTGAATGAGGCAAAGTATATATAATGTGGCATAGCTATAATCAATCTAGCAGTTTTGTAGGAAGGATAATTTAATTATTTTATCATTTTCTAATCTAAATCAGCTTTCCAAGCTGCTTTTAGATCCCAACCGAACAATAATATTGATATTTATGTTGTTCTTAGAGGTTTTTTTTTTTTTAATGATGATGGTATGTTTGCCGCCTGCACTAGTAAAATGAATATGTTCCATCTTATACAAGATATATGATGTGCTATTTACCTATCTGGTACAAATGAAATTCTCCGCTTTATCCCTTCTATCATCCACTCCCATATAACTGATGGGCACTCTGGAGAAAGTGCAGCATGTATTTGACAGTCTTCCTCCAATGCTTTAATTCTGCCATTTAGGAGAACAGTGGAATAATGGGTTGATTTGCTCCTTTTCACCACAGGAGGCCTTGGAGATAACAGGGACTTTCAAGAAATGCAAAACTCAGTTGGTGAAGGAAGAATTTGACCCTATCACCATCACAGAGCCCCTATTTTTCTTGGACAATTCCGAGAAGAGCTTTGTGCCACTGACTTTGGAGATCTACCATTCTATCACAGAGAAGAAGCGGAAACTATGAAAAGGACTTCAAAAGATAACACATCATCATTCTTTCATGGCATAGCAACCCAGGAATAGAGCTTGGTGTTTCTTGACTATAGCCTAAGAATAGAGTAATTCTCTTGGATTAATTTTGTTTTAATTTGGCAGATATCTGGCAAATTAAAGATTTCTGGAACAGGTATCTTGCATACCAAACTTAAGGACATTTAGAAAAGTTAATTTTATTCTTATTCTTTTTCTTTCCCCGAGTAAAGAGCCTTTCTGTATTCCCATGAAGTGTTTGCTCTCCAGTAGAGGGAGGTAAATATGTGTATGCATTACAATATGTATGAAATGGGCATCCTGTGTCCCAACAGTGTCACATTGTGTTCCACTTAAGTGCTTGACTTTGCATAGCAAAGCCTGCGTACTTTTCCTGTGAAGGTAACTGGAATTTATCTTAAAGGAAGTTTCATACACTTCAGTATAAATATACATATCTTCTGCTTCATTTGCTTCTTGTAACACACACCCATCAAGTTATTGCTATCTATGCAAGTATTAAAAGTCTAATAGAACCAAAGGAAAAGTGGGGAAGCTGAGGGTTATTTTTAAAAATCAGAATTGATGTGATTTATATTTCCTGGTCAATTTTTAAAATTACAAGGAATCTTTTCATGTCAGTTAAAAATAATCTGTTATCATTTAAATTCAGTAAACAGTTTCCAACCTCAGAATTTATTTTTGATTTAATCTCTTGACTCTGTAGTTCATTGTATATGGAGGAAATATAGTATATATTTTTATCTTACCTATGATATTAATGCCTTAACTAGAGGATAATAGAATAAGTAAAACTCCAGCATTTAGTAAAGTTTGTGCATTCATTCATGGAATCCAATTCAAAAGAGCAAGTTCAATGTGGCCAGACAGAGGACAAGATCTGGAAACCATACTTGATTCTACAATGCTACCTGTGGCCATTGGGGGAAAATATTAACATTTACAGTTCATTGGGGGAAAATATTAACATTTACAGATTCCCAATCCTGTAGCCTCGAGATGTTTGGACCTGTCAAGCCTAAAACCAAGAATAACAGGTAGTCATACTTCTAAACAAGTTATTTATTGTTTCATACTCATAGACAAAATCTTGCCAGATTGAGCTCTCCAATTGAGCTATATCTACAGAATACTCTGTTTAATATTTTTTTTTTGGGTGGGGTTGTCTCCACCCTTTTTTGGTCACACATAGTTGCCTCTTACTCCTCTGGAATTCACCTCCTCCAGTGGTGGGATTCAAAAAAATTTACTACCAACTCTGTGGCCTTAGTTTGAGGGGTGTGGTATGGCTTGGTGGGCATGGCAGAGGAAGGTTACTGCAAAATCCCATTCCCTCCCCACCCCACTAACCTGCTTTCCAGCTCCGTTCTCCTGTGCAGGGCAACAAAAGAAGATCTAGCAAATCAGCTGGGACTCGGGAGGCAAAGACTTGATGGGGGCAGATGGGGTCAGAGGTAATATTTGCTGGTTCTCCGAACTACTCAAAATGTCCCCTAATGGTTCTCCAGAATTAGTCAGAACCTATTGAATACCACCTCTGATCCCCTCCCTCTTGGGGATCCACCTTCTCATTACATTCCATCATAGGACTTTCCAGAATTCCCAGACAGAAGGCCACTACTGGGAAATGTGAAACTAGAATCTGCCAAGGTTTGGAAATATTGATCTAAAAATAATAATTGTAAGTTCCATCAGCAGTTTTATATCCTGATTGTTTCCACTTTCCAGTCTCTAGGAAACACTTCATAATTGTGGTGTGATGATTTTAATTTCTGACAAAAAGATTGAGAGTGCAAAGAAAATGATTAGTTCAGTCACCTGCTCTGGAACTAGTGTAAGAACCACAGAGTAAGAATCATGTCATCTCTATTCAGTACAAAAGGGAAATTGAGATGTTAATATTATCCTTGTCCTTCCTTATGCTGTGATGTGAAGCTATGAGTGGAAAGGTCATTTGTAAACATCCAAGCCACAATATAGCAGCAGAAATGGGGAGACTGGGTAGTAGGTTGCATCATGAGTTCCCACAATTGGGAAAAAACTGCACACAACCTCCACAGAATCATGGCAGCACAGAGAAATCCCACACCCTGCACTGGGTTTAAATATACCACATCAGACAAGATTCAGTTGTCAAAACTGTCTGACAGTTTTGTCCTTTGCACCACACTCGACATTTGCTGAACAAATGCCAGGGGTTTGCAGTGAAATCCCTGACCAAAAGGAAAGAGTTGATAAAAGAGCTCCAATTCTGCAACAAGTGTTGTGAATCAAACACTCACCCAAATACTGCACAGCCAAAGTGCAATGTCATATCTGCAAAAGTGACATGCACCCGGCTGCATCCAGAGGCCGATCCACCACTGCAGACATCTCATAGCCCTCATTTAAACAAGGATGCTCAACGTACTACAGAAGCACACCCAGAGCCAGTGATGAGTGTCAATTGCATGGTGGTGTGCAATGGCATACCAGCCCCTCGCTCGTGTTGTCAGATCTGCTTAGCCAAAGTCTACCCTGCTGGACGCCCAGAAGGAGCAGTGAAGATGTATGTAATACTGGATCCTCAGAGCAATTGCTCACTAGCCAGGTCCACATTCTTTGACCTCTTTGATGTTCAGAAGGAAGAAGTGCACTTCATGATATCAACATGCACTGCACCAAGAGGCACGGCGGGGAGGGAAGCTACTGGACTCTGTATACAGTCATTAGATGGAAGTTCCCAGTTCCTACTGCCCCCGTGTTGGAATGGAATGGGATACCAGATGACCGCAGCCAAATTGCAACACCAGAGGTAGCTAGCAACATACCTCACCTGAAGCATATGGCTCATCTATTTCCCACCATAGATCCTGAAGCCAAGATTTTGCTCTTGCTGGGATTCGATGCCCCTGATGCCTTAGCACAGTGATCCCCAACCTTTTTTATGCCGCGGCCCGGTACCGGCATCAGCTGGGCGCCGCGGCCCGGTACTGGCATCAACTGGGCGCCGCCATCTTTTTTTGATGAAAAAGTGCTTCCGGTGAGCTTTCTACCCGGAAAAGCTCACCGGAAGCACTTTTTTATCAAAAAAAGATGGCGGCGCCCAGCAACCAGCGGCCCGGTCAGACTTGTTCCGCGGACTGGTACCGGTCCGTGGACCAGCGGTTGGGGACCCCTGCCTTAGCACACACTGAAGTAGTCAAAGGCCCAAGATACTCACCCTTTGCCTTCAAGACAGACCTGGGTTGGGGAATCTCAGGAATTGTCAGTGTCGATGGGATGCAGGCCCCAACCCAGGCAGATGCCTTAGCACCATCCATTCCGACAGCCTTCGGACGCCCTTTGACACCGTGGAAGCGAGAGTACTGCTCCAACCCTAAAAGACCACCAGAAGCGACCACCAGACTTTCACCATTGCCACCAAGAGTACATGTCCACCTTAAAAGGCCACCAGTGGTGACCAGTAGACTTGCACCAAGAAGCTCTACACCTGACACCTCACCAGCCTTGTGTTGCTGTGGAGAAAGGCTGAACTTGAAGATTGAATCTCAAGCTTTGCATGCTTTGCTTTGTCTGATGCTTTATTGTTATTTACTGTTTCTCTTAGTTATATAGCTAACTGTTTATTTTAGTTATATAGTCATCTGCTATTCAATTAGTATTACTCTTTACTGTTTATCTTAGTTAATTGCTCTTTACTTAGTTAGTGAAATTTACAATTCCAGGCGGGGAGTGTACTGTCCTGACAGTTTAGAGTTAATGGGATTTGGGATAGTTAGTTGGGAATTGTGTGTTGTCCCCTTAAGGGAATGTATCATGGTAAATGTAGTTAAGGTCCATGTCATGTGGTCACATCTGTAATCCTGATTGGTCACTAAATTGACCCTTGTTGGGTTGGGGGAGGCTCCCTCACTCTTGCCTGAAGCCATTACCATGCAGCTGCTTCAATCATCATCATCATGGGGTTGAGACCTTATTATCTTCCTACACCACAATTCAGATATGCAAAGGCTTGGACATTAAGAAGAACCTCATCATAAATGTGAGTTGACAGGATGCCTGATGAACCAATAAAAAAGACTTTGTGTGGATCTATCTGCCGTTGTACAGTATTTGTACAGTATTTATACAGGACAGGCAGAATAATTAAAATATTTTAAATGGACATTGCTAACAATGTTTATAGAAGTAATTCAATTTGGGTAGTTTTTACAGGCATTTCAGGTGTTATTGAGCCACAATTTCCATTATTTTTTCTTAATATTGGCTGGAATTTGTGCAGATTGGAATCTGAAAACATCCAGAACACAGTTGGTTTTACATCTCATCTAAGTCAGAGGTGGTATTCAACTGGTTTGCACCTGTTCGGAAGAACCAGTAGCGGTGATTTGGCGTGGGTCACAGAACTGGTGACCCCTGGCTAGCCACATCCCAAAATGGGTTGCCCTGTTGCCTGATCGCCCGCTTGTCCCGGTTGCTCTCCTAGCTTTCCATTCCACGTGGTGGACATGGGGCAGCTCAGGTGGTTGTGCATCCGCCTGCCTGTCCTCCCTCCCAGAGCACATTTTCTTCCTTCTCCCAGCGGCGGACACACCTCTTCCAGCCCAGGCCAGCCTGGCCCAGCCAGCCAGCTGGTGGGTGGGCGGATATCCCAGGGCTTCTCACCTCCCTTATCATGAATGCCTGCAGCAGCCCCTCGGGCCGGCTTAGCTGGGAGCCACCGTTCCCAGGTTTCTTGCCCGTGCTTGGTCGATGCCTCTTCACTTTGCTTGTTTAATACTGTATATGATATAGGACTGAAATGATCCCTAAGTTAACCACTGGGTATGCTGGTAGGGATTAATAGGTGGTAGAATCCAACAGTACTTGGAAAAGTACAGTTTTCCCACTTATATCTTTCAGAAATTTTGCTTTATCATTAAACAGCCTTCCACAATAGCCTCCAAATGTGTTCGAACAACTCTCAGAATCCCTGTCAATGATATTGGGAATTCTGAGTATTGCAGCCTATATAACTAGTGACCACCAGACTGCAGAGAACTGCTGTAATATAAAGTGGCCCACTGTACATAGAGAGCAGCTTGAAAGAGGAGCTGATGATTGCAGGATCCTTTGCTAAACCAGTTGAGCAAGCCTCATTCACTCATGCACCTTTCCTTCATTGGTATTGCAGCTGAATGTATCTTTCTTTCCTTTCTGGTTTAAATTGTGTTGAAAGGCTGTCAAAATGCCTTTCTTCTGAGGATTCGATTTTCCCGCTGGGAGAGCTCCGGCGCAAGGATATGGACAACTGCTTGAAAGTTGGATCTTTTTATTTTCCAGGAAGGCGAAAGATAGCAAGAAGTCTGTGTTCCTGGGCTAGCTACCTTTGTATGGTAAGTCCCTGATTTTTATACCTTTTTTCTCCTTTTGTGTGTGAGTGCTTGTGTTTGTATTTCTTAATGTTTTAAATCCTGTCAGGGGTTGTCTTCATTTCCGCCAGAGGGTAAACTCCGTGGGGTGCAGAAGTCAAACTTTGCGGGGTGGTTTGATTGGATTATCAGTTTCATCCTAATCTTTTTTAGCTTA